TTCCTCCAACACATCCACGCCAAAAAACACCCGAAAACCACCACCATCCGTTAACAACCTCCCAGTCCGGTAGTCCGGTCCGCACCACGTCCACCACGCCCACGCCAGGGGCTCCCGCGTCACCACCGCGTCACCCGCTGGGGCTCCCCGACCCAATCCTCGGGCGCCTTCCATCGGCCGAAGATCCGGATCACCAGCCCGGACTCGCCCCGTGCGCCGCGTGCGGCTTCCGCCGCTGCCGTCGCCTTAGAGCTCGGGCGGTGGGGTGCCGGAACACACGGCGGCCGTTGGAACACTCGGTGGCGGTCGAAAGAGGTCGCGTTGGGTGTGTGACCTCGCCGAGATTCGCAGATCGCCCAGGTGCCCGAAGAGAGCACTGAAAACCGCGCCCAGATCGAGGCTGGGAGTTTGGGTGGACGAAACAAGCACGGATGGTGCCAACAGAGGGGAGGGAGAGAACCAGTCCCGGTCTGCGACGAAGAAAGAACAAGAAGCAGACACACCCCAGGTTTTTTCCCAGGGTCCGATATCGATGGCATGTGTCAGTACAGACAGGTTGGATGGTGTCACGGTGTTTTTGAGCCTTTGGTGGATGGTTGAGCTAGTATGTCCAAGTCCACATGATCCATCCTTGAGTCCACAAGATCCATCCTTGAGATCTACTGAGTATGGTTTTCTTGAGGAACAAATATAAGGAGTATAAGGGTGGTTGAGTTGCCCATGTTGGACTTTCTTGGACATCTCCTACTTGGTTGCTGGATGGGTGACCATGACGGGGTCATCGAACAGTTCTCGAAATCTTCGAGTTCGACCTTCCTTCAGTCCCTGCACCTCCAACCCCTTCGCCCCCCGCACAGAGTCCACACCCCACGGCCAAACGAGACGAGTCGGCGTTCAAAGATGTTGGGCATCCAGTCACCCAAAATGATCGAAAAAGTGGTGGTTCCATAACGTCATGAAGACCTTGAAGATGAAATGATGTCTTCTTTCAGTATGTTCCTTTATTTCAGTACTGATGAAACTGGAACCTTGTTGGAGGGGCAAGCAGTGGATGGAATACGATATCTACATGGTATATGGAACACTTTGGACAATTTACCATTCTCCCAGCAATTTGACTGATGTTGTCTTCTCGCGTCCAAATCTCCAGGATGACTTGAAACAGTTTGCAATCAAATAGTTGTGCAATTTGTGTCAGGTGGCAAGTCAACCAAGTATTCAATTGGCAGGTACACATAGCTAAACAGGATCTACATGACAGAGTCACAAAATACTTGGTATACCTTAGAATGAAAATGTCACATGTCCAACTGCTCAGCATGGACAGGGTCGGCATGAAACGGGCTGCTCTATGAAACGGGGCACAGCAAGCCCACAAATGGCATGACCCATGCGTTTGAGGTCGGAAGCGCGATACGTGACAAGCGCCCAAAGTAGATGGCGAACGGTGGAACTGCGGATCAGCTTTTTCAAGAATAAGTGTGTCCTCCATGGGGATGTCCTTGGAAATGGCACCTGTTCTTCTCGAAAGTCTAAAAACCATGGACACATGGCGCCATATCATGTGGTCATCAGCACCCATGACTGCCATGCATTCGGTCGCGCCCCGCCCTCGGTCTCGCGGTCTCGCGGTCTCATCGCCCACCTCTCTCCGCTGTGCCGCGCGCGCCGCCGCGGCAGCTTTGCTCGCTTCCTGCGAGCCACAGGAGGAAGTCTTAAAGGAAAATAACGAGACTCCGAGGCGCCAAGCGCAGGTGGTGTCCACCGGTCGGCGTATGTCGGCGTTGGGCCAACTGAGGATGTGCACGCGCAGGACGACAGCGGTTGTTGAGATGATTTGAGATGGAAGATACTCCACGGATGGGTGAACACAGAAGTTACCTAAAACGACCTAAGTGACCTCCCAGAAGTGTCAGTTTTCAAGCTGTTGCGGTCTGACTGCATGAATCTCCATGGCCTTCTGAATCTCGGTACGACTCGTAAATCGAATGGCAACTGTTCCGCATGAGCCCGACTCGTCAGATCTCACGTATAGGCGTGACATGGAAATCGTATAAAATCGTCACCACTATCGCAAGAGCACATCCAAAGCTCAGGAAACGACCAGCCCCAACAAACCCAACAGGCTAAGGCCACTTCTTTCGAACAGTCTTTTCAGGTCACGTCAGAAGGTCGCACCGATGTCTTACGGATCTCCTGCACATGTCCGTCATTCAGAAATTCGTAAGAGCATGTCCGTCTTACGGATGTCTTACAGATCTCTTGCACATATCTAGATGTTGGAAAGAATTCTGCATCCCTCCCGCTTCATTCCCAAGCGGTGGCTGATTCTTGATGGGTTGGCCCGGGGAGCTCCCTAGAGTTGGAAGGTCGAGACCGGCCAGGAGATGCGATCCGGAACGGATCCCATGCGTGAGTCCATGTCCTATAAACATCTCCTTTGCTTTGGGCAGAAAAAAAAACCATCAAGAATGGATTTGTTCGAGGTTCACTGGGTGTGCCATGTTCATAGGGAGACCCTATGAAAACCCCGGATTGGTCTATTTTCCATTATATATATATATATATCTATCTATGTCCTTCTTGCAGGGGCTCTTTGGAAGGTCTCCCTCACCGCCCATCTTCATTGGGGCGTCTGTGCGGTCTCCCTTTTCCACTCCGCCCACCGCCACACGGACGGACCGCCGCACGGACCGCACGGCGCCTCACCCCAGGACTTCACGGCATCCATGGCCTTTGATGGGAAAACAACAACATGGGAAGGGGCCCCCCCGGACTTCGGGTGTGATCCTTTTTTGCATATCTCGAATTCAGGGCTATCTTTCGGGGGAAGACTGAGTTAGAACTTTTGGGTCCCAAGCTGATGGATCTTCTCAGCTCTAGAAACTCCAATGCTGCATTCAAAACAGCTGGGAACTCGAGAAACTCCGTACGACTTTCCAGACCCGAATTCTCATCCCTTGAATCCCTTGTCTCTCTTTTATGGACCTGCCCTTCACCCCCAAAAAGATGTGATTTCACCGCGGGACCAGCTCTTCACCCTCCTCCGCCGTGTCCTTCCCGCGTGTCACCTGACCTCCTGGGCCGCCCGGACGAAGTCGCGGATCACCGCCTTGGCCGAGGAGAACCAGCGGTCGGCCACCCAGGCCGCCTGTTCTGACGCACCGGACCGAGGCACCTCAGCTCGCTCGCACCGAGGAGGATCGATCGATCGCATCCCGCGGCACCGAGGACGGGCTGGAGGGCGGAACGGAACGGAACCGGTGTGTGTGGTTTTCATGGTCTTTTCCGTTCCAAGCCGCCCTGGTGGGCGTGGTGTTCTTAGATGGGGCTTTTCTGTGCATCAAGTCGGATCGGCGTGGTGTTCTCGTGATTCTTTTTTGGAGAGGTTCAAGCTTTCGGTGGTCCGAGACCGGAAGCCGTAACAGTGAAATGTTTTGAAATGTCCTCTCTATTTATTTTGTATAGAAATATGTTATTACATAAAGGAGGGTCCACTGACCGTTTGGGATGCCTCTACTTGACTATGGAAAAGTGATGAAACGTGTCACATATTGCATTACACAGCTTGAGTGTTTTTTTGAATGGATTTGATCGCCAGCTGAGGCAAACTGGTTGCTTTACAGTTCCTCAGTATCTCTAAGTGTTCATCCGAACCTTTCCAGGATCAAGATCACTGAAGCTTGAAGTGCTGCATTCCACATGGCCCAAATTGTTTAGAAACTTCATGAAACGTCCTTCCGAAAGCGGAGAATGGTCCCCGCAATCCCATTCCGCCCATTCCGAAGAAAGCGGAAGGAATTTCTTGGACCGTTGGCTGCACAAAAACTTACTTCGCCCCCCCCCAGTGCTCCGAACAGTGCTCCGTTGGATCTCACCCATGTGCATGGCCTCCGGTGTCCCTTTCGCTGCCGCCCAGCTGTCTTGGGCCGCCCAGCCCCCGTCCAGTCCTCGATGTTGGCCTCCAAGCGAAAGGCCTCGCGCTTTCCGAGGACGACGGGGACCCAAAAGCTGGCAAAGATGAGGCGTGTTTGCTTGGAGGGCCTTTAGAACTGAAGTCATGCTGAGGTACTTTTGGAGGGTACTTACCAGGTAATTGTAGCGGTTTGGATGATTGTTCCCTCTGCAAATTGCTGCAATAGGAACTGTCCGGTGGGCGGCCAGCCGTCCGGTAAGCAGTCCCGGAAACCCACTCTGGGTCAGTAGTTCGACAAACAGGAACTAAATAGAGCCTATAGGCCTGGATGGCATAACATGCAGCACAGTGTGTTTTGGCGCACCTGGATGAAAGTCTCTTGGTATTCTTGAATGGAAACTGTCTAAGTCTAGGAAAAGCATAGCTTGACCAATAGCTGGGAATTACAGGCTATGTTTACGTGTTTTCTCATTTGGATGGTCATCTGGAAACGCCTTGGTGCGAGCTGGCCCATGCGCAGCTCAGACTGAGAGTAAAACACACAGAAGCTGGTGCAGTCAAAATACCGAAGCTGTGTGAAAGAAGTTCAGCGGGAACGTTCGAGTCCCGTTCATGGAGACGACATGAAATACAAATCCTAAACAGTTTGCTAAAGTTCACTAAAGTGCAGGGTTCAGGACAATCATGTGCCCCAACCATTAGGGCCGAGGCACCGTTGCTTGAGAGAACAAAAGCATGTCAAACCCTCATGCTCATACGAATATATTGACCTTAACTCCGTTCCAGCACCGTTCCAGCACACGCTGCATGTTCCGACCATCACGTGGCACCGAAATCCTCTGGTCTTCACGAAATCCTGCTTGTCCAAGCTCAACAAAGGGTTGGGAGGATCCGACCCTCAAACGACCCTCTTCTGTACCCCTAAGAGTAGGTTCCCGGCATAAAGGACCTGGTCCAGTGGCAGACCCTCCCCCACTTTTCACTTGACCGACACCCTAAATCGCTGAACTGTCAACCGCCATGCACCTCCTTCCACCTCCCTGCCCACACACTTTTTCTTTGGCCTAAGCTGCTCTATGCTGCTCTAGAGCCGTTCCAGCTCATCCAACATGGCCTCCGTCACTGCACCCCCATAACTCACATCCCCCCAGGCCACCAGGCACGTCGCCCCACGCGAAGGCGTCACCGCCGCGAAGGCGCGCTCCGAGGCCGCCAGCACCACGTCCACTGCGCCCAGTCCAAGCCCTTCGTCCGCCACGTTGGACGTGGCACCGAAGGCCGGGGTGCCCCAAGTGATGACCTGAGACGACGAGATCACCACGAGATCCACCTGTCTGTGGCGGTCTTGGGGCTCAAAACAACCAACCGCTGTGACACCCCTCGGCTGGGTGAAGCTTGGAGAGAATTCGACCCCCAAGGAGACTCGGCGTTGAAGGTGTTCTGAACGTGGTCGGTCTCGGTTCAACGGTTCCCGCCTCTAAGTCCAAACCGCCCAGGAGACCAAGTGATCTTCGGCCTGCCCTCTACTCCAAATTCTGATGTCAGAGAACCTGTCCTTTACCTTTAAAAAGATACCAAATATATAAAAAGAAGACAACTTCGGAGATCCAGATCCGTCCTATATTACAAAATTTGTCTTCGGTTTAGCACGACAAATTGGATGACTGTCAGAAGTCCGCCACACACCACGGTGGCCGGACACGCCAGCGGCGGCTCAATCGCTGGGTGTTCGATCGACAATTGCAAGTTCGATGAGAGGAAACAAAGTTGGAGATGCAGGTGCTATCTCTCGTAAAACGTCACATCCCATGATTGGTTGAAAAGGAGATTGAAGATGCCAGAGGGCTTGTTGGGTTGGTATATGAGGGTGTCTCATTGCAAACATCAAACACCCAAGCCTCCAGGTGGGTTCTCCTGTCAGACCCTCCACACAGGCGAGTAAGAGTACGCCGCAAAATGAATTGTTGAGGTCGAGTGCCCTTCTTTCAGAGGTTCCCAAATAGTTGGTTTCTTTTTTGAGGATGTGACCTCGTTTTGGCATGAGGATGTGTGAAGTTCCCAGGATGTTACCCTCCCTCAAATAATCATGGAAGTGAAACATTTAGACCCCTGAAAAAGAAACAATCTTTCTCTACAAACAGGTGGTGTTTCACTTCCATGTTTATGACTCGGAGAGTACGTTTTGGGAAACTAAAAGCTTTACATTCACGTGACAGCCACCTGTCCATCAGCCCTGACGGCAGCAAAGGCCTGTTGTGAAGCTGCCAGCTGCTTCACCTCCTTCAACCGCTCAGAGACCTCGCTGCTATCGCCTCAAGGGATTCTCAATCTCACAACTAGTTGTTTCCCACATGGGATGGGACATCACAATTGCTGCTCGTTCTGCTCGTCGTCCAAAGCTTTTGGGGCCGAAAAGGTGTCACTTTGAGGGATTGCCAGGATTGCCCCAAAATGCATCTATACCCAGACACTCCATGTATGCCATATATGCCTACATTGACCCCCCTGGCACCACCCCAACTGATCGGCATATATTCCATACATGGAGCGTCTGGGATATAGTTTGTTTTGGTTTCAGCCTCAGGCCCTCACCTCCATACAAGGGAAAGCCCCAAGTCACCACAGATCCTTCCGCAAGCAGGGCGGCAAAGGTGCCCCAGGTGCCACAAAGCTCTTGGACCTCGTGTAACTGATCTTGCACTTCACTGGAGTCTCCACCATCTTCCTCTTCACCCCAGGTAACCACACCTGTGACGATGGTCATTTTGGGATTCATCAAGGGCACATCTTGAACAAGACGACTGGACCTGAAGATATCGGATGGGTTGAGGCCAGAACCTGCATCTAGGGTGACCAGAGATTGACCAAGAGCGGCAAGTTGGGGTTTGTTGACTCACCAAAAGAGTTCGGGAGGGTCACTTACCGAAAGTTCCTGCAAAACCCAAGAGCCATCAACTGAAACCAAACAAATGTGAACGAACTCATCACCTTTAGCCTATAGGCCATCTGTAAGAAACATCGAAAAGCACGCCCATTGTTGAAGAGGTTGACTGCAATCCAATGTTTACCCATCCTGAATCCAAATCTGCAAGGGGGTTGCGATCCATCAACGGTCAGCCTCACCCTACGCAACTCCAAGTACCTCCTCAGGTTCGGTATGACTGGACCCTGGCACCCGGGCCCCCAGTCCCACCTTCGAAAAGAAGGTACGACTGGAGCCCAAACGGATGAATCAACACCCTGCCTCCATCTGCCAACAGGGCCGCGAAGGCGTCTTCGGTGGAACAGATCCCCCGGACGTTGATGAGCTCTTCGCGGACGGCAGAGCTGTCCCCTCGCGGTCCGAGCCGCCGTTGGGTTGGTGGCTGATGTGGAAATTCATCTGGGTTCGATGAATGTCTCATGCAGATGATGCCTCATTCAAGGACTTCAGGTCCTGAAAATGGTCTTCCATTCAAGGACGGACTTCGGTCGCGAGTGGATGACCACACGTCTCGGTGAGTCTTTCAGAGTCGGGCAACTCCCTGGAATAATCATGGAAGTGGAAAACCAGCTGCTTGTAGCGGAAAACCAGCTGTTCTATTGATATGGGTGGCTTTTGTCCTTTTGGTTTCACTTATGCTCATAGGGTTCAAGATACATACGTTGTTCATTCATTTCATTGTAGTGTCAATTCCCACACGATACCCGGAGAGTGCCCCGAAGGGGCGGGACTTTGCGTGGCGGTCGTGAGCCGTGTGTTATGGTGAAGAGGATTTCATGGTCATGCAAGGGGCCAGGCCATCCACTTAACCATGATGATTCCAGCGAGTAGGGAGTGTAGTTACAACTGTTGGACCTTCCAACAAAGACGGTTTGCTCGTCGATCATGGCATTCACAACCAAACCGCCCAAAAATCGACCAGGAGCCTGGGTCTTCTCCATCCAAGCATGTGTCCGTGTCGGAAAGAAGTAGAGAGTCAACTACTCCAAACACGGGAGATCGAACAATACAGTTGGGTGTTTGAAGGTTCGTTTGATCCACTCCAACAACTTCCAACTTCCAACAACGACATATCTTGGTGAAAAAGCCTCTACCAGGACCATCCTGCCCTACACCACTTTGGCCACTCTGCACAGCCAGGACACCCATCGGATGGTTCAGGGTTTCTTCAGTAGGGCCAAGACACACTCCACGGGGGTGGTGAGTATGACAAGTACCCTCAAGTAGCTTATGTCCCTGCCTCCAAAAAACCTGAAACGTCTTCGAACTCACTCTGTTCAAGGCTTCTTGGCCCATGAAGTTCGCCCCATCCAGGTCCGCGCCTCCATACTCGGGATTGCCCCAGGTCACCACACCACCGTCCTCCAAGATGGCCGCGAAGGCACGCTGAGAGGCGGCCAAGTGTTTCACACCTCGTAGCTCAGAGCGAAGCAAGCTGCTATCCCCTCCAGCGTCTGCAGCGCCCCAGGTCACAACGCTTCCTGGGATGCGGTGGCTCCGTTGCGCTTTATATCGCCGTCGCCGAGGAGAACATGGCCGTTTTTTTGGGGGGGAAGCTATATACAAATCATATGATGTAGTCTTGGTGTGCACCTGTGACTTGTTGGTTCACACGTCCACCATGACCCTTCAAAAGGCCTCCAGTCAACAAAACAAAACACCTCCTGGCAGCAAGATTCCATCGGCCAAGCGGGCAGCAAAGGCTTCTTCTGAGCCACAAATCTCTTGAACACTTCGCAATTGGTCTTGAACACCGCTGCTGTCGCCTCCACCAGTGTCATTGCCCCACGTCACCACCGTTTCATCCTCCAAAATGGCCGCAAAGGCTTCGGCCGAGGCTGAGACCTGCCTCACACGACCACGTTTCAGTTGCTCTTGGACCTGCCAACTCTCTCCGCCACAGCCATATTTGCCCCAAGTCACCACCTGGTTGTTGCTTTCAATCCACACAAAAAAGTTGCTCCTGCGTGCTCCTGTATTTGGATTAATGGCAAGGTCACGGAGCGAAGCAAAAACGATATGAAACCACCTTGAAAACACCCTCAAGAATCGCTGCCTGTCCATCAACCAAAATTGCAGCAAACGCTCCCTTGGAGGCAACAACCTCTTGCACCCCTCTCAGCTGATCTTGTACACTGCTGCTGTCGCCACCTGTATATGCATCGCCTCATGTCAGCACCCCACCACCACGGCACCACAAAGCAAATGCCCCAGCGGTCGCCGCCAAGCAGGGGATTTGGAGCACTACCGTCAAGGTCTGACCTGGGAGCACTCGCGTCCAGGTGTCGAGTCAAACGGTGAACCAAAAAAGGAGGAATCTCTAAGAACTCGGGTGTTGGAACTTATGTACCAGTGTACCAGTACCCGGTTCGCCTTCCTTTCGACCATTCAAAATAATGGTTGCAACCTGGTTTTGTAGTGTGAAATCCTTAGTAGAACAATGGCTGTTCGGCAAAAGGCCTTGAAAAGTAATAGTGGTTGGAATCCTAGGGAGCATATATGTATAGTTATTAGTTATACCTGGATCCAATGGGTCCTGGAGATCCCAAAGTAGTCTAGGGTGGTCCAGAAAGGAAACTTAGACAAAATGGTCCTGGTATGTATACCTGGAACCCGTTTGACCGCTGCTTTGATAGGAAAAGACCATCTTTTCGGGTGATTCGTGGTCCAAAATAGAGGTCATTCAGGTTCTAGTAGGTATTTATATATTATCAGTAGGCTAAGGTAGTTTCACACACCTTCAGATCCATGGCGATTGTTCTGCATTCCTCAGCAGATCCGACCAGCTGTGCCTTGCGTCGGGTTCGCTTCGGCCTTCTCCCGGCTGGGTTCCGGTCGCATGAGACCGGGGGAAGGTCGGCGCGACAGTGACATTGTAAGTGATAGAAGCAAGAAACCACAGCCTGACCAATGGTTTCACCTATATAGGTGAAGCCATTGGTCAGGGCTGGCTTCTGACCAACTGGAGAGTTCCAGGTGATCTCGAAGAATCAAAACCATCACGAGGTCTTTGGAGACTCTCCCCATCCTTCGTCTTCCCCAAATCATCAGCGCGACCATCGTGGAGTCCAGCATCTTGAATCGATTGGGACACGTTGGAGAGAACAGTTCCATCAGCCGTCACTTGCAAGAAATGGTGCTGAAAGAACTTCCTTGGTCCAAGATAGGAACTTTTGGTATAGTTTACTGTCCATTCCGTGTCCCGGGCAAGTCCTTTTGAAAAGGTTGAAAAGGTAAACCTCAATGTTGTTTCCAAGGACAGGTGTCTCTCAAGCCGCCGCGGACGGTTCGATTCAGACCGGTGCTGCCAAGCTTTTCACCACAAGGAAACCACATGTTTGGCCCTCTCCGAAGCAGACGAAGCACACAGAACACAAGGTGGTCACCACTTTGACCATGAATTCGGCTGTCAAGAAACCCGCCCACCCAAGAGAACTGCCTGCATAACCCAAGTTGACTTGGTGTGGGGGGATTCATCCACTTCTGATTTCAGAAAATAGGTTTCAGAATGGTTCAGAGTAGATGGCACGTTTGGGCCCCCCAGTTCGGTGGTTGATCTTTTTTAATATGGACCCCCCATCTATATAAAGGACATCTTCGGGTGCCAGTGCCATCTACTCTGAAAAACCCTGTAGGACGTCCCATTTGGCCACCACCACCAGGCCCCTTGGTGCTGTGCGTGGGGAGAGGGGAGAACTCCGCTCAGTGATGCTTTGGGCGGTTGAAGAAAGGCAGGACATTCTCTGGTCAAAACCACCACTTTCTTACTTTTGATTATCCTTTTGATCAAGCCTCAGGGCCTCAGGGAGTCACAAAGGTAGGCTATAATCTCATATACTGGTGGCTACACCCTGCGCAAACTAGATTCCAATCCGCGACCATCAGCCGCATATCGACCCAATCCGGGGATTCCGCAATCCGCTCAATCCAACTAACGATCAATGGGACTGGCGCAACAAAAACAAGACTCTCCCTCCTGCTGCTGCCGCCGCAGCTGCTGCACTTCGGGGTGTCTTTCACTTTGTTCCAAAGGGATTCTGACGAAAATGGTTTCTGCCGTCCACAACTCCATCCCACTCAGACCCCGATGTTCATCAAACCCACACGGAGATGTCAAACCTCTGCATGTTGCGGGTTGGATTCCTCAATGCTTTCCACATGACCCACCCACATGGTGTGGTCCTCCACGCATTCCTCCGCCCCAATTCTATCTAAGTCTCTTGGCCGCCGCTTTCACTTCGCCCACGCTCGCGCTGGGCGACAGCGACACCGTCGTGCTCGATCCGCTGGAGACGCAGAGCTGCAAGCTCCATCGCCGTTGGTCGGGAGAGCGCGACCGGTCCATGGCGAGGGCGGCGCGTCCGGTGCGTCCGGTGCGGAAGGAAGGAGTTCCAGTGAATCGCCAAGGGGGGCGAAGCTTACTTCATTCCCGACTAGGCAGTCAGAGCATTGAGGGGGCTCAGACTAACACCACCATGGCACCCACCGATGGGCGCGAGATGGTGCGAGGTTTTCGGTTGGCTGGTACGGAATGTCCTCCCATCTTTCTCCCTTCAAGAACCCCTGGCCCTGGACATGATGGGACCGAACGCGGCCCAACCATATTCAAGAGATCTCCAAGAAACAGGGAAAGCGTGTCCTCCCTCAGTCTTCAGTCTTCACTACGCACATCGGAGTCACAAAGAGACTCTCAAACTTCGCACCCTCAAACCCCCTCCACATAAATATGTGGTGTGGTTCCCGAAATTTTCTGCCCCTCACTCATCTTCCTTCTGCTCACCCTATAGTCAGGAAGTCCGGGCCCTCAAAGCCGTCCCTATTGGTTTGGGCAGAGATGCGCCAGAATTCGCCAGCACCGACTCTCCAGCAGATGAATCCCAGCCTGCGGACCCCATTGTTCCCAAAAGGCTCCGATCTCCGCTTTCAGCAGCTCCTGAGTGAGGGCGTTTTTTGTTTTTTCCGTGGTAACTGGGGTTCAGGAGGGATGAAGCTGGTGGCAAAGCAGATGAAAACAGAATCCACTGTTACAGTAAGTTGAAACAAAATCCTTCCTTCGAGTGATCCCCGCCCTGAAAAGCGATTTGTGCGGATTGACACGATGTTCTGACGCTTGTTCTGGCATCAAATCTGGTTTGTGCTCTGACACATCATATTTCATAAAGGCTGGGAAACGTTCTGGACTGTGTTTTGACATCTTTGTTGGCGTGTGTTCTGACGTTTTTCCTGTCTGACATGTGCTGTGACATATGAACCAACTTCAGCCCTGATATGTGTTCCGACATGTATTCCAACGTTTGTTCTGCCATCAAAGGTGTTCTGGCATTCTATCTGGCATAAACATCAAACATTCTATCTGGCATATGCTCTGGGCTCTATCTGGCAAAAATCAACTGCTGGCACTTCATCTGGCATCACTGCTGTTTCTATCTGGAATATGCTCTGGCATTCTACTTGGCAAATACTCTGGCAGTCTATCTGGCGTACATTCTGACATTCTATCTGGCATATATTCTAGCCGACTCTAACCTTCTACCTGGCATATATTCGGACATTGTATCTGGCAAATATTCTGATGATCTATCTGGCCGTTGGGGTCCGGCAGCGCCCACTGCGATCGGGAGCTGCCGGTTGAGGTCCGACAGCGCCCACTGCGATCTGGCGCTTGCTGTTGAGGTCCGGCAGCGCCCACTGCGATCTGGCGCCTGCTGTTGAAGTCCGGTAGCGCCCACTGCAATCATGCACTTGCAGTTGAGGTCTGGAAGTGCCCGCTGCGATCACGCACGTGCAGTTGAGGTATAGCCCATTGTGATCTGGAGCTGGCAGTTGAGGTGCGGTAGTCAAGAAGAAGACGAGGAGGAGGAGGAGGAGGAAGAAGAGGACAAGAGCTCTGATAAAATCTGACAGTTAACAACCCTCACCTGGCAGGTGTGGGAAAAACCTGTGTCATTGATCCACTAGCTTCATTTGTCTATGTCTTCAGTTGATGTTTCCAGGTCCAAAGCCTCCGGCCAGCTCACAAACGAAGGCCTAAGGTCACCACCCTGAAACTTGATGTTCACTGTTGATTAGTTGATTGTTAACCAACCAACCAACCAACCAACCAACCAACCAACCAACCAACCAAC